TGCAAAGCTATATGTAATCCAAATAATGAAGAACCAGAGATTCCTTTTACAGAAGATGGAAAAATAAAAAAGTATTTTTCAAAGGATGTTTTTGATAATGTTCCATTTATGTTCTAGATGTTAGCATTGTAAAAATATATTATGAATTGTATTTTAGATCATATTTCATTTTAACAATAATTGCAACTCTATTAGTAAAATATCCAAGAGATTTGAATTTAGAATATTAATAAGTTTTGGGAGAAGGAAATAAGAAACCAAGTGGAATCAATCATGAAAAATCAGTAGATTATCATCCAACTGTTATGCATGCTGAATGTGAAACTCTTGGTTAAGGTATGAAATCAAAACCATTTTGGTTTTTAATATTTATGGTGTTATGTTCAATTATTTTTGGAATGTTATTAGCTAATTGCTATAAAGTATTTGGATAAACTGTATTAATTATTAATATATATGTATATAGTTAGGTATTGATGATGCAAAATTAACAGTACTTGGTTCAGTTTAAGCAGTATGTAATGGAGGTTCAAGATTTGGATGGGCAGTTTTGTTTGATAAAATTGGTTTCAAAAAAGTTTATTTGATAATAGCAGTTATTAACTTAATTTGTACTGCCACTATTGGTTATATTGATAATAGTTATGTTGGCTATTTCATTATATTATGTGTAACAATGTGTTGTGAAGGAGGATTATTCTCTTGTTATCCTGCTGTAAGTGCAAAAATATTTGGACATAAAGTAAGATAATTAATTAATTTATAAAAGGTGGGACCCATTATTTATGGTGGTTTATTCTTTGTTATTGGTTTATCAAATATGTTAGGATATTTATTGTACAAATTTGGAGAACCTAAAGTAGGTTATGGTGGAGTATTTTGGATTGTCTTTGGATTTTGTTGTGTTGCATTTATTTTAGGAATATTCTTTAAAGAAGAACATGATTGGAAAAAAAAATGAAAAAATTATTCATATTAATATATGTTCATTTTCATAATTTAAAAAAATATTTTAGATAATATGTATATAAAGAATAAGAATACTTAATTACTTTTAGAATATATATAATCTAATCCATTTTTAAATCAATTAATATTTCTTCATTATTATTCTTTAACTTTTTAAATATTACTTAATTTAAATAATTATTATATTGATAATGACTGATACTAAGGGATCAATGGTGGCTCCATTATCTAAATATAAATTAGTATTCTTAGGAGATTAATCGGTCGGAAAAACTTCAATAATTAATCGTTTCATGTTTGATACATTTGATGGCAAAGATCATGTAAGACAATTTGAATATTCAAGCCTACAGTTGGCATAGATTTTATCTCCAAGACTCTTTACTATGAAGATAGAACCATTCGTCTTTAATTATGGGATACTGCAGGATAAGAGAGATTCAGATCCTTAATACCAAGCTATATTAGGGATAGTGCAGTTGCTGTAGTATGTTATGATGTTGAAGGTAATTTCTGATAATACAAAGTGAAATAATCATTTGATAGTGTTGTAAAATGGATTGAAGATGTACGTTTAGAAAGAGGCAATGATGTAATAATCTTTTTAGTGGCCAATAAGATTGATCTTGAAAACAGGTAATTATATGCATATTAATGGAAAGAGTTGTATCAACAGAATAAGGAGCAACCTTAGCCAAGGAATAAGATGCTCATTTTATAGAAGTTAGTGCAAAATCAGGAAGCAATGTTGAATTACTATTCAAATAAATAGCAGCTACTCTTCCAGGTACTGAAACATCTTAAATGGTTAATTCTGTTGTTAACAATCCAATTTAACGTATTAAATTTCATAGATTTATAAGCAAAAAATAATATAAATTTAGATAATCCATAAAATTAAGATTAAGAAAAGAAAGATGGAAAGTCATGTTGTTGATTTTCTTATATTATTATTATAATATATAATTGTCTATTAATAAATCTAGTTAGTAATAACCATTATTTATTCATTTTCTAAATATAAACAATATATTCATATTAATAAATTTGAAATCAAAAATAATAATAAAAAAACATCATAGTCTTTATAATAAATTATTCAATCATAAATAATATCTAATTCACAATAATATTGATATTATTAAGCTTATTTTGTATATTTTAAATTATTATATATATTCCAAAATCTAAAGTAGTCAAATTACTGAACAAATCATCATTATTTAAAGATAGAGAAATATTTAAATATACTCTTGTAATTCCTATTCAAAATCTAAATTAGTTAGCATATTAAATTTAAAATCTAATCTTAATCATAATAACTATATTTTCTTCTTTATAAAATTTATATAAAATTTAGTTAATATCTGTTATTTTTAATTAAAAATATTGCTCATCTAAAATTCAAACTACAGTACTTTTAATTCCTTTCAAATTTATTTCCTTTACATCATTTTATATTCAACTTATCAATTAATTTGAAAAATCAAATACTTAAATACATTCAATCATTTATTGATAATATATATATTATTTAATCTATTTATATTAAAATGAAAAATAGAATTAAATTATGTCCTTAATCCTATTTTTGAGTTTCTCTCTTTTCAGTATTAGAATAATATTTAGAAGGAATCTAATTATATTAAATTTAAAATTTATTATTATAAATGTAGAATACAATTGTTTAAATGAAGAAAAATTTCAAAATAAATTAAACCATTGAGTCTAAAAAGTCAAGCATAATTCCAACCTATTTTTATTATCTATATAAAACTATTAATAAAATAAATTATTATGAAAACTAACTTAAAAAAACAATAAGCAACTCTGCTCCCACCAATTGATAGAAGATAAACTCAACCCATTTAGTTCGATTAAATTAATTAATTGATCAATCAATCATTATATAATCCTAAATAAAATAGAGCTTAATCCCTATATTCTTTAGAATCATAAGCTCAAGATTCAGCTAAACATTACACTAAGATATCTCCTAGAAAAAATATTAAGGATTATAATAAATGGTATGTTCCTCCAAAAAAAAGGTTCCTTGATTTAAGAAAAGAATCTCAAGAATTTTAATAAGAATAATATATTATAAATACATATGCTCAATAATAAATGAAATACAATTAAATATTGAGAGAGTCAAAATAATTGGCTTAATTTGTTGAAGAAGTATTAATGATATAGATATAATATAGTTTTATAAAAAACATAAACGTAGCCCTTCTTTCATCCATTGATTTAATATTAATATTAATAAATTTTACGTTCCTATTTATCCTCTTAGAAACAAATCATACATTTCAAAATACACAGAAATTTATTCAATTTAGAGAATTAACTCTTATTGATTAGTCAAAATCCGAACAAACCACTTTTTTTGTAAAATACAATAATTTTTTTTTATCATATTAATTTCAAAGGAAAACCATAGAAAAACAAATTTAATAAGTAAAAGTAGATAATATTATTCAATCAAAAAATTATTAAACTGTATTATTATAAGTTTTTAATATTCTTATTAAAAGTGGAAAATAATCATTAAGTTCTGTATGATTATAATACTGAATAGAGATGTAAGAGAAAATCAGACACTGTAGTTCATAGAGGTAATTAGTTAGACTTTAGAAATACTTTATTCATAAAAATAAAATACATTTATTTTTATAATTAATTGCATATATATAATTAAATGAGGAATGGTTTATAAAAATAAGAAAGTGATAGAAACTATAATACTTCAAAAATCATATTTCCTTTTGATAATATTATGATAAAGAAATTGAGAACATAATAATTTATAATATAGGATGAAAAAATAGAGTGCAGCATTTGCTTAAAATTAATAATTTCAAATGAGATTGGAAGTTAAATTAGAGGATGCAAACATACTTTTCATTAAATTTGTTTATAAAGATGGTATAATATTAATAATTAATGTCCTTTGTGTAGGTAGTAAATATGAAATTTATTTATTATATGTATTTATAATCAAAATTATCCTGATAATAAGTCGATAAATGTATTAATATTAATAATTTAATTATAAAATAGTTTTTTTAATTTAGTAATATCAATTTGCATATTTAAATTTCCTTATTATAAAACATGTTCTATACATTTATATTCTAAATCTTAAATAGTTTTATTTAATAATTATATATCTCTATTTATTTTTTACTTACCATTATATTTGTAAGGCTAAATTTAAGCCATTAAATGAATAATATTAAGTAAATCTCCACCAGTAGCATTTTCAAAAATCTATGAAATTTTATCAACTAAATCAATAATTGACAAATCTTTCCAAATTATAACTTATTTAAAGAGTTTGTATTATTTATAGGTTATTACTTCATATATATTAGTACAATCAATTTAGAAAATCATCAATAAAATTATCAATAATTACTAATGAATTAATGTTAAAAACTTATGTTCTAATAGAAATTCAGATAATGGTATTCCATAAATGTTCTAGTATTATTTTTAGGTTTTAATGAAATTGAGATGTAGCATCTAATATCTTTATTTTTGGCTATCATTTTATTATTCAATTACTCTTGAAATGTTTGTATTCCTCTTACTTTTTATCATAGCATTCAATTAAAAGAATCTATTATTTGTTGTTGTATTGCATCTTTTTTCTAACTGTTCTTTTTTAAAGGATGATTATTTTTCAACATTGGATTTTGTTGAGTAATCTCGTTTTAATATTTCTACCATTTATTTGTTGTTTTCAATATCTTAAGTTACTTCTAATAATTTCAAATTGAATTTTCTTGTATTTCTTTGTTGAGTTTATGGTTTTTAATATCCATAGACTCTAAGTAAGCTTCTATTAAAGACTAACTATTCAATAGGTTAAGGATTGTATGTTGATGAGCTTTTTGTTGGTCTATTACAATAAGAAATAGGGTTATTTAATATTTCTATAATTTTTTTCTTCTCTTATAATTTAAGCATATAATATTAATATTAAATTAGATTGAATTATATAATTGACTGAAATATTATAAATTTCAATACTCTCCAATCAAATCTCTATAATTAATTTTTTAATTAATTCTTCTTCTTAAATTTCTATTATTAAATGAAGTCTCTTAAGTCTAAATAATAAGATTAAATATATATTTTACTTCTTATTAGATTTATTACTATTATTAAGGTTAAGTAGTTTATTAAGTTTGGATGACTTATGAGATTTTTGGTGGAGATGATTATTAAATTTTTTGTTTTTTTTTTGTTGAATTTCTCAATTAATCTAAATCTTATTTGATTTCATCATCCATAAGATTAAATCGAAATGCTATAATTTAGATTCTCTTGTATACTATATTAAATTTTATTATCTTTGGTTGCAACAAAATTAATGTTTTTTTCTCTGTTTCTAAAATCCTCTTATTCTATTATTGGACGCTATTTAATAATTGGAGGTTCTTCAACTTTTTTAATAATTTTTGGTTTCTTAATATTTTTGGAACAAGTGAGACAATGATATTGATTAGTTTCAATTTCTATTTGAATATTTTAATTCCTATTTTTTTATTCACATATAATATGATTCTAAATTAAATTAACTTATCTTTTTACCCATTTTTGACATGAATCACATTATATCCATCTTGCCTCATCATCATAGGATCCATAAACCTTAAAAAATAATATATCAAAATTTTGTACTTATTCACAATAATCACAATAATTTCCTTTATTATATAATTTGGAACATTTATCACAAAAGAATAATATATCATTCTTTTTTGATTTGATTTTTTTGTCACCCACATTTTTACATTGAGGATTATGACATTTTTTTTACTGTTATTATGGTTCATCATCATCAACTGTAATTGGATTATCAACGTTGTTTTTTTACTTTTAATTGAAATTCCTTTGTTGTAGATGATATGGGTTTAGGAAATTGGCTTATTATAAAAATTGTGTTGAATTAGAAAAGTATTGTTCCAGTTCTATTGGTTTATTCACAGGCAAGACATCTATATAATTATGGTAAATAATTCATATATATGGTATATAAATGAGGGTGTCAGATATATAAATATTAACTTACTCAGCATATTTGGAATTGGAAAGAGATCCTTAGATGAATTATTTAAGTTCAAACTTTATGGTAGATTTTGCAATAGCTATGCTTAATAGAGCTATTAGATTTTGGAATTAAGTAATGCTTAAAACAATGGATTTTGCTGTTAACTAATATAATCATAAGCCTATCAAATAAATATATGGATATCAATAAATTATTAGCATGTTATAAATAAGTTCAATGTCATACCTTAAAAACATTTAGCATAAGTCCAAATCTTGTGTAATACCTAAAAATGGTATTTAAGAATTATTATTCATTCCTTAACTCATTTTTTATATTGTTTAAATTATAAAATAAACCTGAATTTATATAATTAAATCCTTTGAAATATAGCATAACAATATAATATTAAAGAGTTTTAATTTAAATTTCTTACATAAATCTACATATATTTAAATTCAATTTCATTAAAATTATCAATAACATAAAAAATTCATTATCTCCATCAATATTTTAGAATTCCTCAATCTCTTTTTTTATCCCTAATTCTGCAGTTATTTCTAAAATGTCTTTCAGAACATCACATACCTTTAATGAATATAATTTCTATATTATATAATTGCTCCTTGAATGAGTTACTTTTTATCGAATAAGGTATTAAAGCTTATTTAATCAACCATTTAATTAAGCTTAATTTAAAGAATCTTATTTTTGTTTTAACATTCATTTAATTATATTTTCAATATTTACATTCAGCTCTATTTTTTTATTATATAAATAATGATAATTATTATAAAAAATCATTAATTTTTATCATTTTCTAAAAATCAATTTATTATCATGATTATTAGTTTATTTTCAAAAATTCATTCAACATAAATTAAAATGATTAAATTTCTAATAGTCTTCTCTATTGTATTGTAATTTTAGAATTAGATTCTTAATTAAATTATAAAAAGATGGATTTGTTGATTATTATATTTCATATTGGAAAGTATATAAACTAACAAATGGATATGGATTTATATTTATTTAAATTAGTAAAGATCTTAGACTATCATCTAATTTGTAAATCTCAATTTTATTTTTGATAATAATTACTAAAATCAAAGTCGATTAATGGTGAAAATGGAATAAATTTCATTTTAATAAATAAATAAAAGTCAACATGGGGTATCAAAGAAATCTTAAACTGTGATTTATCTCTTAAATTTCCTCTCTCTTTAATAAAACCAATCTTTTCCATAAAGGCTTTCTACATAATCAGTAAAAGTCACTAATTGATATGGATTTTATTTTTAGGCTTATTAGCTTATTCTTGGTATTTCTACTCCAGTAAAAAATTCATCAACATCATTCTTATCATTTAAATCAATTTTTGGTTGGATTTCTCGCCTTCTAAAGCGAAAAGGACGAACTTCTTTTACTTCCTTCTATTATAAATCGCTCTCTGTCTTGATATGTCTAAAGTTCTCTTCACTATCAATTTTTTAGCTAAAAAAGAACCGTGACTTCTTTGAAGACTTTTAATCCAATAAGTTGTCAAGACTATCTAGATTACCTTAAGGTGAGTTATAGTCTGTAGTTATAGTATAATTGGATTTCTAAAGAGTTTTTGCAGATTAAATTTCTGATTCAAAGTCAAGCTTTAAGACATTACTAGAGTATTAAGAGAAAGTTGTTTTTCGAAAAGACATCAATTACTATAAACTTTTACAATATTAATTAATTTATTCTTTTATAGGAGTCTGAGCATATAATGTTAATGCTGTTTAATAAATATAGAAACAATTATTTATTCAGTACTGGTCACTATTTTCAATTAAAAAATGAAATGATGTAAGTTCTAATTGAAAATTAAAATAATTTTTGAAATACTAAACATTGTTTCTAATAGATTTTACAAAATTTCTTTGAAAAAAAGAAATCCTATAACAGTTAGGTTCACAAAAGCTTCTGTAAATTTATTTATGGTTTAATATAATAACAGAGGTATAAAATTGTAATCGATAGTAAATAGATTTCTTATGAACAACAATTAATAAACAGCTTCAATATATTAATTAATCATAATTTAATATAAAAAACTATTGAAATCTTTAGTATCTTTATTTCTTCATGATAGGAATGAAACCTACAAAAATTACATAATGTTAAATAAGACAAGAATCTTGATATCATATAAAATATGATACTGACAAATATATATGTTTAACTGATCTATCTATATAAATAACATATATATTCTAATTTTTAATGATATTAACTTTACAATATTCTATGGTATTCATTACTTATATTATTAAATAGTCCTATTCTCTAGTGTAATTTCAAGAATGAAAAACATTAACAATAAGAAATTTTGCCATATTTTATTTAATTATACCTAAGTTTTTAGATTCTATATTCTATATATTTATATATTTAATTAATCATGCTTATTTATATAAGAACTATTATCACAATTTATAAGATAATTTAATTATGTTTGACATTTAAATATTTGATGAAAGAATTTAATAATTGTATGATAACAATATTTAAAGAAAGAATTTAAATTAATTTAATTAATTATGCAATAAGGATAGAGATTGAAAGAAGCTACTGAAGGATAGATATTTTAAACTGGAAGTAAGATAGGAGGACCTTTTAAAATTGGAAAGCCTGTTTATTAAGAAAAAAGAATGAAATTGTTTAATGAAATATATCAACGGCAAAAAGCAGAACTAGAAGCTAAAGAAAAGACTCCAATCACTGTTACTCTAAAGGATGGGAAAAAAATAGAATGTTTTATATAGATTAATATTTTAGGTAAAAAATGGGTTACTACTCCAATGATGATTGCTGTAGGAATTAATAAAAAATTGGCTGAAAACATGGTGGCTGCAAAAGTGATTTATGATAGTTTATTTGATAAAAGTATGAATATATATATAGGAATAGATTTTGTTGATGTAGATCATGACGATTAATAATAATAAGAATCTTCATTGACTTTGAAACCAGATTACTTGATATGGGATTTGAGTAGACCATTAGAAGGAGATTGCTAATTGGAATTGTTAAGTTTTGATGATAAAAATGGAAAGGAAGTATTTTGGCATTCATCATCTCACATTTTGGGATCCGCTTTGGAAGAAGTATATGGATGTCATTTATGCATTGGTCCTGCAATTGATGGTGGATTCTTTTATGATTGTTACATAGGAGATTATAAGGTTACTTAGAATGATTATGTGAAAATTGAGAAGGCAGCTTAAGATCTAGTCGCATCCAAATAAGAATTTTAAAGAGCAGTCTTAACCAAAGATGAATGGTATTATTAATTATTATTATATTTTAGTTTAGAATTATTTGGTACTAATCCATTTAAGAGATAATTGATTACCAATAAGATACCAGAAGGTGCTATGACTACTGCTTATAAATGTGGTAATTTGATTGACTTATGTACTGGTCCACATTTACCTAACACTGGTTATGTTAAGGCATTTTAAGTAACTAAAAATTCAGCTGCTTATTGGTTGGGTAAGAACACCAATGATGATTTATAAAGAGTTTATGGTATTTCATTCCCAAGTAAGAAATTGTTAGATGAATATATTTAAATTTAAAAGGAATTAGCTCTAAGAGATCACAGAAATGTAGGTAAGAAACAGAATTTATATCTCTTCCATCAATTATCCCCTGGATCAGCCTTCTTTTATCCAAATGGTGCTCATATTTACAATACTTTAATGAACTTTTTGAGAAGACAATATTATATTAGGGGATATTAAGAAGTTATTTCACCAAATATTTTCAATGCTTAACTTTGGAAGATAAGTGGACATTATGATAAGTATAAGGAAAACTTATTTTTTATTAATATGGGTGAAGAGGGAGAATATGGATTAAAACCTATGAATTGTCCTGGACATTGTTTAATGTTTGATATGATTCAACATAGTTATAGAGATTTGCCAGTAAGATTTGCTGATTTTGGTGTCTTACATAGAAATGAGGTACATGGTGCTTTGAGTGGATTAACTAGAGTTCGTCGTTTCCAATAGGATGATGCACATATTTTTTGTAGAATGGATTAAATTTAAGAAGAAATCAAGAGTTGTCTTGAATTCTTAAGTTATATTTATTCACTCTTTGGATTTGAATTTAAATTGTATCTTAGTACTCGTCCTGAGAAATTCTTAGGAACTAAAGAAGTTTGGGATAATGCTGAATATCAATTAGAATAAGGATTAAAGAAATTTGGAAAACATTTTGAAGTAAATCCTGGAGATGGTGCTTTTTATGGTCCTAAAATTGATGTCAAATTATATGATGCCTATAAAAGAGAACATTAATGTGGTACTATTTAATTAGATTTCAATTTACCTGAAAGATTTAATTTATAATATAGAGCTAGTGAAGATGAATAAGAAGTATAGAAGGATAAAGAATAGGTTCACAATGAATAAGTTTAGGTTGCCTAAGAAATTATTGATGTAGCTCGAAAGGCTTCTCATCATTCAGACACTGAAAATATATCTAATCCTACTTAATAATAGACTACTGAAATTCCTGCTGAAGAAAAAGTACTTTAAGAATAGAACGTTAAGCAATAAAAATAAAAAAAATAAAAATAATCATAATAATAATAATAATAATAATAATAATAATAATAAATAAAATAAAAATTGCCTGAAGAAATAATTGAGTCCGGATCAAGTTAAGGATTATCACAACATGAACTAAATAAAGTCATACATGGTATTTTCATCTATTATATTTTCTAGAAAAGAAATACGAATTGGGATATCATCATTTAAAAGCAGGATTTGCAAGACCAGTAATTGTCCACAGAGCTATTTTGGGATCATTAGAAAGAATGATTGCTATCTTAACTGAATAATGTGGAGGCAAATGGCCATTTTGGTTATCTCCTAAATAATTACTCTTATGTCCAGTATCTGCTTACTATAAAGATGTTGCTGAAAAAATATCTGCAAGATTAAGATTAGAAGGATATACTGTTTTTACTGATGATTCTGATTAAACTCTTGCTAAGAAGGTTCGTAATTCTCAAATCTAATACTATAACTTTATTGGAGTTATTGGTTAAGAAGAAGTAAGTGGTGGTGTTATTGATATCAGAGATTGTGAAAAAAACACTAGAATTGTAATTTTGTCTATTTATTTTAATTTAGGGTAAATTGACTATTCCTTAATTGTGTAAATTCTTTGAATCCCTTAAACCACCTAAATCTAATGTAGAAGTTGAAATCCATAAACATGATGATTCTCATTTGAAATTAAATGATGAATTATAAGAAAAGATGTTCTTAGAAGGAGATGGATATTCTGTTGGAAAAAGAGACTTTGATGAATTTGCTAAAATCAAAGATATTGATCCTATTCTTTAAAATTTGATCAGATGGCACAAATATATGACTCATTTAACTAAATAAGATTAAGCTCCAGAAAAAGTTCAATAATAAGAGGAACAAGTAGAATAAAAGTAAGAATGAAATAATTTATATATATATATTTTATTAGATTTATAAATTATCATTTTATCTTGAGTGATATTTAAAAATATAAAATCTGTAAAAATCACTCAAATTTCTAATTTATTTATATAAATATTAAAAAAATCCGTTTAAAATAGCAAAAGAGTGCATTCATTTTTATTCAAATTTTTTTCTAGAAAACCAAAATTACTTTATGATAAACACTTAATTTTTTATAATATAAATATAAAAAAGAATCATTTTGCTTATCTTATAACTAAAATAACTTTACAAAATTTATATTATAAAAAAAATTCATTTGAATTAGATATTAAATTAAAGAATACTTGAAAGTTTAGATTTTTTCTGTAAATATTTAGCTCAGATATTCAAATTAAAAATTTGATGATAAAAATAAATAAGGTTTCATTTAAGAATTATAATTATAAAATAACATAAAAAATAAATAAAAAAAATTATAAAAATAAATAATAAAAATTATTTATTAAAGAATTTTTCATTTTTGTGAAATATTAAATTTTTATTTATAATTTTATAATTGTGCTCATTTAATATAAAACCACGATTTGATCATGGGGAAATTTAAATCTTTTTTTTAAAAAGTTAAAATCATATGGTAAATTTTTCAGTGGATCAAATCAGAGAGATCATGGACAAATAAGATAACATTAGAAATATGTCTGTCATTGCCCATGTTGATCACGGTAAATCAACACTAACAGACTCATTGTTATGCAAAGCTGGTATTATTGCTTCCAAAGTTGCTGGTGATGCAAGAGCAACAGATACTAGAGATGATGAAAAGGAACGAGGTATTACTATCAAATCCACTGGTGTTTCTCTTTATTATGAATATGACATCTATGATAACAAGACATTAGAAAAGTTTTTGATCAACTTGATTGATTCTCCAGGACACGTTGATTTTAGTTCAGAAGTCACAGCTGCCTTAAGAGTTACTGATGGTGCATTAGTTGTTGTTGATTGTGTTGAAGGTGTTTGTGTCTAAACAGAAACAGTGTTGAGATAAGCTATGCAAGAGAAAATCAAACCAGTTGTCATGGTTAACAAAATTGATAGAGCTATTTTGGAATTAAAACATGATGGTGAAACTATGTATTAAAATTTTGTCAGAGTTGTTGATATGGTCAATGTTATCATCAACACCTATTAATAAGAAGACATGGGTGATCTTCTTGTTCATCCAGAACTTGGATCTGTTTCATTTGGTTCAGGAAAAGAATGCTGGGCTTTCTCATGCACAAGATTTGCCAGAATCTATGCTAATAAATTCAAGGTTGAACCACTCAAATTATAAGAAAGATTGTGGGGAGATAATTACTTTGATGCTGAAGGAAAATGTTGGAGAAAAGACAGTGTTAGTGGATCAGGAAAACCAATGAAAAGAGCTTTTGTTGCTTTTATCATGGACCCAATCTGTAAATTAGCTAATGCAGTTATGGAAGGTAATATGGATATGGCTAATAAAATGTTTGAAACTTTGGGATTAAAACTTACATAAGAAGAAGCAAAATTAGGAGGAAAACATTTACTTAAGGCTGTTATGTCTAAATGGATTAATGCAGCTGATACATTACTTGAAATGATTGTTTGCCATTTACCATCACCAAGAAAGGCTTAAAAATACAGAACATCATATTTATATGAAGGACCATAAGATGATGCTATTGCTTAATCAATGAGAGAATGCAATCCAAAGGGACCATTAATTATGTACGTCTCTAAGATGGTGCCAACTACAGATAGAGGAAGATTCTTTGCTTTTGGTAGAGTTTTTTCTGGTACTATTGCAACAGGATAAAAGGTTAGAATCATGGGAGCCAATTATAAAGTAGGAAAGAAGGAAGATTTATTTGAAAAAGCTATCTAAAGAACTGTTCTTATGATGGCCAGTAGAGTTGAATATATTCCAGATGTTCCATGTGGTAACACAGTTGGATTGGTTGGTGTTGATCAATATTTGATGAAGACTGGTACCATCTCAGATCACCCAGATTGCCATTTAATTAGATCAATGAAATATTCAGTATCTCCAGTTGTCAGAGTTGCTGTTTAACCAAAGAACCCAGGAGATTTACCAAAATTAGTTGATGGATTAAAGAAATTATCAAAATCTGATCCATTAGTCTTATGTACAACAGAAGAATCAGGATAAAACGTTGTAGCTGGATGTGGTGAATTACACGTTGAAATCTGTTTAAATGATTTAGAAAAAGATTTTGCAGGTATTGAACTTATTAAATCTGACCCAATTGTCTCATATAAGGAAACTGTAACTGCTATATCAAACATCGTTTGTATGTCTAAATCACCAAATAAACATAACAGAATTTATGCTTAAGCTACTCCATTACATTAAAATTTACCAGATGCTATTGAAAAAGGATAAATTACACCAAAAGATGATCCAAAACTAAGAGCAAAATCTCTTAATGAAGATTATGAATGGGATAAGGATGATGCACTCAGAATTTGGACTTTTGGACCAGATAATACTGGTGCAAACATTTTGATGGACAAAACATCAGGTGTTTAATATATGAATGAATTAAGAGAATCAATGGAATCTGCTTGGTAATGGTCAACAAAGGAAGGTCCACTTTGTGAAGAAAATTAAAGAGGTGTCAGAGTCAACATTTTGGATTGTGTTTTACATGCTGATGCTATTCACAGAGGAGGTGGTTAAATCATTCCAACTGCCAGAAGATTGTATTATGCATGCGAATTGACAGCTTAACCAAGATTATAAGAACCAGTCTTCTTGGCTGAAATTACTGCACCAAATGACGCTACTGGTGGTGTATATAATTGTCTCAATACCAGAAGAGGAACAGTCATTGAAGAAGAATAAGTTGCAGGGACCCCACTTTCAGTGGTATCAATATTATTCTATTTTCATAGGTTAGAGCTCATTTACCAGTCGCTGAATCTTTCGGTTTCACTGCCCATTTAAGAGGTATGACTTAAGGACAAGCTTTCCCTCAATGTGTCTTTGATCACTGGGCTGTTGTTAATGGTAATCCACTTGAAGTAGGAAGCAAAGTATTAATCTTAATTAAACATTTAGGTTAATGAATTAGTCTTGTCCATCAGAAAAAGAAAAGCTATCAAAGTTTAATTGCCAGATCTTAATGAATATTTGGACAAACTCTGATCTAAATAATGTATATTTAATAATGCAAATAATCAAGCTAAAAATATTATATAATTTTTAAGAGCAATCTCAAAAATAAAATATTCATTTTTGATCTACAGTTCCAAAATATCTATCTCCAAAATCTCCTACTCCTGGGAAACGTAGATCTTATATAGTATTTAATGCATGATCCACTCCTGCAGTAATTACTTTTACTTTAGGAAATTAATGAAGAACCTTTGAGAGACCTTTTTCACATGAAACTATATTCACTGCAGTAATATTATCTTAATTTACTCCATGTGATAATAATGCTTTGATAGCTGTAGTTATTCTACCTCCAGTTGTTATCATAGCATCTGTAAGAATTACCTAATTTATTTTGTTTAATTTTACTTATTTTTGATCCACATCATCTGGTAATTTACAATAGATTAATTATGGATCCTTAGTCTAAGGGTGTTCCTAAACTAAGATGAATCCAACTGATGTACCTGGTAGCACTTTTAAGGCTTCTCCCAAAAATGCATTTCCAGATCTTATCATCACTACTACACAAAATTAGTTCTACTCAAAACTTAACACTTATTATTATAAAGTTTGTTATCCATCTTAAGGTGACATTTTTTTGATATGCTCTGACACAGCCTTTTCTAATAGTAATCTTATCAATCGATCAGAATATAATCGAAAATGCTAAAATTATTAATGATACTACTTTAGTTTATGTAGTTTTGTTTCGAATTACACTCAATATATGTTCTACTTGAAATTTATCTAATACATAGAGACTGGGAAACCTCAGACGAAATTATTATAATTCTGTATGAGAAATGAATGAAAAATAGGGAGCAGCACATTTAAATCGATTTTATTATTATTAGGTTATTAAAGTGAGTCCAATAAGTCCAATCAATCCTGCTTTAACAATTTTTGAATTTATCAAAATCATCTTTTGAATATTTATTTTTATAATAATTACTACTGTGAATCTTAAGAAAATATATATATAACAATGTGTTTGTTATACTTAAATTAACAGCAAATTAGAACAATTAATATTATTTAATATATTAAAAATAAATATGGTTAATTTTAGATAAATTATGCAAATAGTACTACGCAAATTTAATGATAAATTGAATGTATCAGCTTCTGCTGCTATGTTAATTGCTTTTTTTTGTATATATCAAGCCAAAGCAAAACCATCTTTGCCACTTGTGAAAATCAGCAATTTTATGTTGGTATTACAAAAGAAATTAGTTGAAGAAGTAATTTATGATGGAACTCACATTTTATTTAGATGTGTTAATTAAGCCTAATGGCTATCAACACAGGCTGATCCCATGATAAAGGGAAAGGAATTGCTTAAGGCATTAATGTAAGAATCTCTTATATGCATTAAAGGGAATATGGTGTTCCAAGATTCTAAAATTCCACTTAAATCTATTACTCTGAAAAATAAATGATGTATTTAATAATGAGCATTGCAGCATTATCATATACTTTTGGCATATTTGCATCTCATATCATTAATTTATAGAAACTTTCTAATAAATCTATGATTGCCTCTTCTACAGGAGTCAAATTTGCAAATATTTATGGATTAGATCATGCAAAAAAATAACTCTAATAAATCATTGAATATTTATAGGATCCATAAAAATTTAGAAATGTAGGTGCCAGATTAAGGAGAGGTGTCATGATTTATGGTCCACCAGGTACAGGAAAAACAATGCTTGCCAAGGCTACAGCAACAGAAAGCAATGTGTAGTTTTTATATTGTTCAGCAACAGAATTTATGGAGATATATGTTGGTACTGGTCCAAAGAGAGTAAGAGAATTGTTCAAAAAGGCAAGATAATTAGCCCCAGCTATTATTTTTATAGATGAAATTGATAGCATAGCATATAAAAGGAAAAATTAAAATTTTGGATCAGAAACAGGAGGTGATAATGAAAGGGTAAGTACTTTAAATTAATTACTCACAGAATTAGATGGATTTAAAGAAAATGAAAATATTGTTGTTATTGCAGCAACTAATAGAATTTAGATTTTAGATGAAGCTCTTTTGAGAAGTGGTCGATTCGATATTAAAATAGAAATCTAATTACCTTCAGAAAATGATAGAAAAGGTATTCTTGGTGTTCATTTACATAATGTAATAGAATAATTTATGATTTCTTTAGAAAAAACATTAGATTTCTTCTGGAATGATTGAATTAGTAGCCAAGAATGCAAATGGCTTTTCTGGAGCTGATATGGAAAATATTACAAACGAAAGTGCATATATAGCCATAGAAAAATAATAAGAATTCATTATTGATTCAGACTTTTAGGAGGCCTTTAAAAAGGTCACTTAAGAGAAATAAAATTTTAGGGACTTATGATTAAATTTTGAATATGTTTAAGCATAAATATATTAATTATTCATAAGTATCTTTCGATCAAAATTTAGATATTATCTGGTACTTAATATGTAGTTCTGAAAAACTCTTTGAAATGACAACCTAAATCTGATTTAAACTATTATTTCAATATATCCAAAGTATTAATTTAGACTACATGATTCAATTATTATTGCAATAAAATTAAGAAAATATTCTAAAACCATATCCCTTCTTTAATGTTTTTACTCAATAATTCACTCTTACTGCTACACATCCAATAAACAATCCTTTATAAATTTTAGACTCCCTAAAATAAAATATATTTTTTACTTCAACAGTGAAATCCTTAATCGATTAAGCAGATATAACAAGGGCTAAACCAGAAGTAATTACTTTTTCGAATAATTCAAATTTTAGCTTAAAGTTTATATATAATAATAATTACACAACAAATGCTTAGAATGCAATCTATAACTTCATTTAAGAAGTATTATTTATCATCTGATTATTATAATACTTAGGTAAATAGATAAAAGATATTAGCTTAGATGTATTTTATTTAGTACTCTTCTTAACATAAAGTCTTTCTCAAGAGTAAGAAAGCATTCTTCTTTGAAATGTTTTTTAATATAGTTGAAAATATTAAGTTATCATAAGGAACAAATTTTAATTAAGATAATATTATCCAAACAGTTTAGTTTTCGATATGTTTGAGTAGAAGTTCAAATAATTTCTTATTGATCTAAAGAAACTCTTAGAAGAGTACTGCCTCAAACCAAAAAGGATTATTTTAATATAATTTTGTAAGGAAATGTTAGGCATGTCTATGTTTCTCTTTTTTAAGTAACTCTAAAGTTTTGGAATAATAGTCACTCATGACTGATTATTCTTAAGGAAAAAGTGATATATTTATGGAATCAAAGGATAAAGTTAAAAGGTAGAATTCTAATTGATTATTGGAAGACAATTGTGCCACTAATTGGTTCAAAACATTTGTAAATGAACTAACACATAATTGTTCAGGTATATCTGTAATATTTTCAAGTTTGGATTCTAAATTCACCATAATTTCTAGAGCAGCTGTCACTTCATTTAAATAAAAGTGATCATTAACTTATTCAATAGATTTATTGAACACTAAGGCAAGTTCCTTAAAATATAATACAAACACACCTCTTTTCTTAGTTCCTATTATTTTAGATACAATTATTCATATTAATAAATGTATTGTTGTCTTTTTTGGAGCAATTTATTTTGTATGTCTTCTTTTCTTTATGAATTTCTCACTTATTCCCTTTTTAATTATATCAACCCATCTGTTTAAATGTTAGAGGGAAAATCTGCATTTGAATTCAAATCCATTATATTATTAATAAATTATTAATAAAAATTAAACCATTAAATTATATAATTGTTCATACTTTTCTTTTGATTAAATCTTTGCCAGTGCCTCTGAGAATGAAATCCACACTAGGGCCATCCTATACTTTTATTCTATATTTTGATTTATATAATAATTCACCAGTAGGCTTGAAATTTAAACAAATATATTTACTTTGAATCTAATGAGAATTTTAAATGGCTATACACCTAATTCTCTTATATCATCAATTGTTATTTGATAAGGTAAACATGTAGCATGTGGTAAAGTATGTACCATTGTAGATGGTCCATCTAATTTACCTTCTGTAATTTAAAATTCAAACACAGATGGATCATCAGTTTTCTTCATTTCTTCTTTGTCCTCAAAAGTCATTGTTCTATCTACTATATTTTTCCTTAATGGATTTTTTTAATGTTATAATTTCCATTAAGCAGGTACTAATGATAAATTTGATAAATAAATAGCAATAGTTTTATCTTCTTATACATCTCCAAAATCCAATACTTCAGGTCCTTCTACTTGATCAATTCCAGAAGTATTTAAATGAACAAATGGTCTCAATAAAATCCCTTCTAATTCAATTGATTGTTTATCTCCATTTGCATAAAATATATTAATTGATCCATGATGATACACTTTATAAGTAAGAGGCCAATTAACTGGATCATTAGGTTAATAACCTTCAAATTTTATTAGTAATTCTACATGTGAATCTGTTACTAAATTGAATGTTTTTGCTATTTCTGTCTTCATACCAAGTTCATATTTTTAAGGTGAATTGGTTGAAGTCTACATTATTTTAAATGGTCCTTCAATTTCAAAAGTACATACAAAACTTGATTTTTATCTATTAACTAAAATTAATTTTTTTTCTTATTTTTAATTATAACCACTAGACCATTTCTAAAATTTAACCTAAAATCCTCCTTCCAATTTTTCAAGCTTATCAAATGTTAAATAAGGTGTAATAGTTTCACTTTTTACATAAAAAGCTACTTCTCCTATTGTTTTATCTTAATTAATAAGTCTTGGTCTTGCAACTAAACATGCACTATAATTTCCAGTATCTTATGTAGTAAAATGTAAAGTAAAATGTTTCTCTTTCCTTTATTTGATTCTCTCTTTATTTGGTACTACTTAAAATGGACCATCCTTTGATTCTGGAGGTTCATTTGCTATAAATTAAACATCACATAATTAATCTGATCCTAATTATGGTTCTGTTATTTTAATTTCAAAATAATCAGAAATAGTACTATTTCCTAAATTATAAATTTTCCATTCCAATTCAATATCTTAAGGACCTGTATTCATAACTCTAAAATCTCTACTGATTGTACCAAAGTTTCTCATATAAGTACCTAAATCAAATGTAGGAAAATCTGTTTTGTAATTAAATCCTAATTAACTTGGACTAATTACAATAGGAGATCCTTTAATATCTATTGCAATTGGAAATTCTTTAGTAGGAAGTCCTCTAATATCACAACACATTAAATCTTCAAATAATCCACAAATATCATTAAATACTGTCACTTAAACAACAACAGATCCATATGCATTTAATGTACCAGAAGATGGTTCAAATACAACTGCAATACCCAAATTATTAGATAAATAAACTCTTTAATCATGTTCCATCTTCTTTTATTTATTTAATTTAAGACCTGCTTCAGAAGTAAAATTATGTGTTTTCTCAATCTTATTTGTTAATAATACTACAGGTCTACCTCCTTAAGTAATTTTTCCTTTTTTTGATACAGATTTAGAAATAGAAGATTCAGCAAATTTAATTGTTCTTGCTGCTTATGATTTAGCATCAAAATCATCAAAAATAGTTGATTACTCTTCTAATGCATGTGGTTAATATTTTCTCATATATAAATTAAATTATGTATGAATACCAGATGTATTCTTAATTAAAAACTTTGCTTATTTTGGTTAATTAATTGTACAATTATAAAATTCTAATTTATCCATTTATTAATTTTTTATTTCAGTATCTGCTTTTAAAAGTGATTTCCTAGAATCTTTGAGACTTTTTGATTTAGAACTGACTGATGTTTTAGATGATATATGTGCACTATCATCAACTAATTCATATTCTACAGATAAACCATAAATCATAGTATTCATTTCAAATCCTAATGGATATTACAATCCTTGTACTTCACAAACAAAGAGTTCATTTAATTTACCACCTTCTTTAGGTTTTATAGAGAATTTTATAATTTAATTTGTTTTAGGTTTAAGAACTCCTTTTTTAGGTTCAAATTAAACCAAATATTTATCTTATTTTTCATTATCAACAACCCATTCAAAAGGAGTACTGATATTACCTAAATTCTATAATTAAATGTATTATTATGCTCTTTAATCAAATGTGTATGTATTACCACAATAAAGTGTATCAATATTAAGAGATAATCTATTTAATGAGACACTTGGATTTTGAACTTCAGCAAATACATCTAAAACAATACAATCTCCATTTTCAACCTAAAAATATAAAAAATCATTATAGGTTTCAGCCTCTCTAGATTAAAACTCTACTTTAAATGAAATTGAACTATTTGGTTTGATTTCAAATTAATCTTTATTAAATAATAATCTTTAATCTGATCCAGATTATGCTTTAATTAAAGCAGGAACTGGTGATAAATTATTTATAGTTAATTCTTATGATTCTAATGAATAAGTTTAAATCAAGCCATAATTTAACCAACTCTATTTTACTGATATAATAGGAGCTATAATTTCAGCAAAAACTGTAATTAGAATAGAATTAGCATAATCAAAATCTACTCTATATTCTAATTTCTTATGACCAACTTCAGAACTTTATATTCCTAAAACAATTTCAGCTTCATTATTAATAACACCTTATTGATCTTAAATATAAAAATAATCTAGTTGAAGTGGATTAATTTAATATTTCATTTAAGTTTTTGATGTTGTTGATAATTTAAATTTATATTAAGCCAAAGTATTAACACAAATAGGAATAGGAAATTTATAAAATTGAGGTGTAACACTTACTTCTCCAAGTGCAGACTTACTAATTAATTCAAATTCAAAATATGTAATTGATGGTTTAATACTATTAGATCCAATAGCAACTGATTATGAATTATTTTCAAATTATTATTTTAAATTAGGAGGTGGATTTCTAATACTTTCAAATGGAATATCATCAATAATTAAATATGCTGTTTAAAATAGTGGATAATATTCTTCACTCTTTAAAAATATTGTAAAATCTATAACTTCATTAGGTTAAAAATATCCTTCTTAAGGTTAAATAGAATAATAATTTTATTCATCTTCTAATTTTAATTCTTTATCATCATTTTATAGATACCAATGATATTTAACTTTAACAGATGTTTTATTTCTTATCTTTAATTGTCTACTAGTTTCAACTTTTGGAATAGGATCATTAAAAAATATCTTTTATAATTGTTCTTAATTTTCTAAATTAATATTATCAATTCCTAATATTCCTAATTCTACCATATTTCCTCTACCAATCAATTTTAATGTAGCCTAAGTTAAATTATCACATCCTAATATAATGTTTTCAATAACTTCACCTTCAACATCTGGTTTAAATATT